TGAAAGAAGACTAGAAAGGGGGAAGGTGACGAAGGACTTTAAAAATCAGAGGACTGTATATTTGAATCTGGAGGTAACAGGGGACCACTAGAGTTTATTGAAAAGGAAGGTGGCATGGTCAGATCTGCATTTCAAGAAGATCAATTTGACAGCTGAATGGAGGCTGTATTATTGTGGGTAAGAGATTTGTCGGTGAAAAAACCTAGCAGGCTATTGCAATAGTCCAGAAGTTATGGGGCCCTCAAGCAACATGGTGGCAATGTGAGAGGAGAAAAGAGGACTTCTAGCAGAAATGAGTTACAACAGGCCTTGACAAATAATTGGATATAGGAGGTGTGTTAACATTCAGGAATGTAAGTATACACCAGAAGTCAATCAACAAGCACTTTTTAATTGATCACTAGGCACCAGTTACTGTGGCAAATACCATGGAGCTACAGAAAGGCAAAAACATGCTTCTCTTCAAAGGGCTCACATTCTAGAAACTACATTGAAAATGGAACTGATTGTCAAGGAGACCGACAATTGAAATTCCATATCTAGGAGGTCAAACTTTTGTGTATCTGTGCAACTTTTGTTAATATTCTTTCAGTTTAACTATTTTGGGAGGGCTGTTACTCATTTCCTAACTATTTATGTTTTTTTGCTTCCCCTAACTGGCCCTGCCCAAACCTATTAATTCTCATGTAAACTTTGCATATGGGCATGATGGGCCCAGGTTGCCTTAAAGGAGGATTTCCCAATTAATGGCTCAAATCCCCTTCCCAGAATCTTGGGATAGTCTCAGTAGTCACCCACCAGGGAGACTGGGCCTTTGCATGTCAGGTCATAACGTCCCAGAGGCAGGTTTTGTTAAAACTACAATAATTGAAGGAAGGGGGTAGGGAGGAGGGAAGGCACAAAAAAAACCACAAACAGCTTACTAGGACCCTAAAATGCATGCAATCTCCAAATGAGTATTTCTGGGAGTCACAATCTAAATACCAAAAATACACTTTTAGTTAAGGCCCCTTCTAGGGATATAGCTTTTTAAGTCCAACAGACAAACCCCTTTCTACCTCTTCTTTCTAGGGTCAGAGGCTTTCCCCTTAGATACTCCTCAGAATTTTCAGTTCAATTTGATAAGATTCAATTGAACAAACACTTATTAAATTATTACTAGACACAGTAGGATGTAGTCAATAGAATGCTGACTGGAATCAGGAAGACCTGAGTTTGAATTTCACCAGACACTCACTTACTCATCATCCTTGGCAAGTCATTTAACCCTCCTCAGCCTCAATTTCCTCATAAAATGTGGACAATAACAGCTTCGACTTCACAGGTATGTTGTGAGGATCAAATGAGATAAGAACATGTGAAGTACTTTGCAAGTCTTAAACCACCACATAAATGTTAGACATTATTATTATGTACTAGAACGATCTATTTCCTAACCTGAAGAAGCTTAAAATCCAGCAGGGAGGAGGAGACCTAGTCAAATAATACTAACACAAGTTAGAATGTGATTCAGACATAGGAGAAGTCAAATAGAGTCACAATAAAATTAGATAATAGCAATGTAAATGTATAGCCTATATCAGATTGTGCGCCATCTTCGGGAGGGTAGTGGGGAGGAAGGGGGAGAAAAATTTTAAACTCAAAACATATGGAAGTGATTATTGATAAATCAAAATAAATTAATAAAATAAATTTTGAAAAAAGAAAAAAAGAAAAGCAAACAAAAAAGAAATGCTGTTGATCTTAGAGGATTTTGTTTTGTAGACTGCAACTTTCCTGAATTGTCTTAATTGGTATCTTTGCTGATTCCCTAGGATTTTTCAAATAAACCATCATATCCTCAGCAAATAGGGATAGTTTTAAATCTTCTTTACTTATCTTTATTGACTTTCTTTCTCTTGCCTTATTGGTGGTGCTTAGTTTTAAAATGTAGCATTATCTGTATTTTACAGTATTTTTATTTATTTTGTTGAAATATTTTCCAATTACATTTCATTCTGATTTGGGCCTTACTTGGGACTGCTGTGGGCTGCATATGGGCTACAAACCATGTATCAAGTATTTGACAACTCTTATCTAGCGTCTGGCTGATGTTTGTATTTAACTGTATGCAAATGATGCAGTTTTTTTGTACTAGGCTTAAATTGTTATAAAAGGATTTGTTCTGTGAAAAAAACAAAAAACAAAAACAATAAGCAATAAAATTAGATACCTATGTGAAGGACAGATTGGGGAAGGCAGAGATCAAATTACAAAAACTTCTCTTACCTTCAGTATCTTCATGGGTAAAATGCAAAGTTTGGACTAAATGATTTCTGAATCCCTTCAGAATTTAAATATCATGATCCTATGATGTTAGGAGACAGTTTAAAGAGTCCAGGTGAAGGGGCAGCTAGATGGCGCAGTGGATAGAGCACCGGCCCTGAAGTCAGGAGGACTACTTGCCACTTACTAGCTGTGTGACCCTGGGCAAGTCACTTAATCTCAATTGCCTAAAAAAAAAAAAGTTCAGGTGAGAACTGGCAAGGCCCTGAACATTCAGTTCAATTCAATTCAATTCAACAAACATTCATTAAGCTATTAAGCATAGGTCCTTAGTGTAGTAACATTTCACACTGTTATAATAGGTCGCATTTTATATAGAGCCTACTGGGCACCAAGTACTAGGCAATAATACTTTAGAAGTATATATAAAGCAGTGGGCATTCAAAGGCAAAAATGAAAACAGATCCTACCTTCAAGAAGCTTAGTGCCATCGAGAAATGCAACTTGGAAGCAAATAAAATGGTACAGTGGAAAGAATCCCGGCCCTAGAGTCTAGAAAACTTCGGTTCAAATTCCACCTTTGATGATTCCTACCTGTGAGACCTTGGACAAGTCAGTTAATCTTGGTGCCATTCTTCATCTATAAAATGAAGGAAGCTCTGGAGTCCCTTCTCTCTATGACCCTAGGATAATTTGGGGAGGGAATCATTAACAGGTAGAAGAGACAGGAAAACCTTGGCCTAAGAGGTGGTCTCAGAACTGAGCTATCAAGGAAGTTGAAGACTGGGAATAGAGGTGGATGGGGGAGTGCAGCTGTGGAGTGTCTGAAGAAAGGAGGAAAGAGATATTGTCGAGGGAAAACAGAAAAGACTTAGCAACTGATTAGATTTGGGAGTGAAGCAGTATAAGAGAGAGAAAAGTCAGAGCACTGAGGTTTCAAGCCTGGGTGACTGAGAGGATGGTGGTAACCCCAACAAAAGTAAGGAAGTCAGGGTGAAGGGCAAGATTAGGTAGGAAGAGAATGAATTCGGCTTGGGACATGATGAATTTGAGGTGCTGGGAGAATTGCTATCCTGATGGTGTAAGGTGGAAGGCAAGATCTATTTTGTGTTCTTGTTTTGTATCTCCAGTCCCAGGGATTACTTGTCTTACAAAAACTCATCAGATCCATGTAGAAAATAGATTTATATAGGCTCATGGAATTTCTTTTTTTAATCAGGGAGGGAATTATATTTGCTGTCTGAGAGCCTGGGTTCAAGTCCTAGTTTGGCTACCTTCCACCTGTGTGACTTGGGGTGGCTTCAACTCTAGGCCCAGTTTCCTCACCTGTAAAAATGAGAGGGTTGAATGAAGACACAGAGGTTAGTAGATTTAGGAGCAGGAAGGGATCCTTGTAAGTCTTCCGGACACACCTTTTCATTTTACAGATGCGAAAGCTAAGGCCCAAAGGTAAAATGGCTCGTCTAGGTTGGCACACACACGCACACCTGATTTGGTTTGTACCCGACAAGCACAGTGATACTCGTTCACGTTTGTCTGACACGTCTTAGATCCTTTTCAAAGGACCTTACTGACCAAACTTCCCTGTCACACTAGGTCTCAGGTGGCGTCAGGCTGCGAGGCTCCCCTTAGCTGCGAGGCTTCCCTTTCCTACGAGTCTCCCTCCGCAGCCCAGCGGAGAATACAGTCCTGCGCCTGACTGACAGCGACTGCCCTGCCCTTTCCCACGTGGACCCGGGTTTGGAGGACCAAAGTCTAGCGGTTGCCTTGGGAGACACTAGTCTCTGCGCATGAGGGCAGGAGGATGAAGAGACAAGTATGCTTGACGAGGGAACTCCGGGGCACCCAGGGCGGCCACGGCCCGGACACCGTCTGGAAGATTCTCACAACCACCCCGCTCCTTCCCACTGCACTCGGCCTTATTTCACACGCCCCCCACGCCACCGGCTGCACCCGGCAACCCCAACCCCACACCCGGCGCCGGGAAGGGAAAGCCCCACCCCCATCGATTCGAGCAGCTACTCCGCCCCCCTCCCGCCCCGCCAAGCCGTCACCCAATAACCAACCCTGGGGGGCGGGGAAAAGTGGCTGTCGTGAGGGCATCCTGACGAATGAGGAGGCGGGTGGGCGGGGCGCCAGGGACAGTGTCACGCACGGGTCCGTGTGAAAACGGGGGTTCCGAGTGCAAAGCAAAGTTTTTTTGTAAACCGTCTGCAAAGGCGGGGGGGTGAAGAGAGAGACCGAGACGGGCCGAGTGCAGCCGCTGCCTCCTCCTTCTCCTCCTCCTCGCTTCTCCTATCCGCCGCCGCCTCCTCCTTCTCTCCGGCTCTTAAGCTCGTCCGTCGCCTGAGCCAGACCGAGGATTCGCGGGATCGAGGAGCCCGCAGTCCCGAGTCCCCGCGGCCACAGATGCCCGGCCCCCTCTCCCGGCGCGGAGCTGCTCCTCACCCGGCGCCGTCGCTGCCTCAGCCCCCGCCCCTCTTCCCTCCGCTCGGCTCCGGGCGCCGGCTTCAGCTGCCTGTCGCCTCCGCCACCGCCCCCTTGGAAGGGAGCGCCGAGTCTCGTCTCGGCTTCAGCCCCGGCTCCTGCTCGGGCTCGGAGGGGAGCTTGAGGCGCTCAGCCGGGCCCCGCAGTGTCTTCTCCCCCTAGCCCCGGAGGGTCTCGGCCGGAGTAGTTAGAGGAAGGTCGGTTCCCTCGGGCTCCCGGCGGCCCCAGCGGGGCTTGGTACTGCGCGGGGTCCTCCCTCGCTGGGGAGCGTCTCCGGCCCGCCCGCGGGCTCCGCTCTCGCTGCGTAGGGCCCATCCCGGGCTTGACGGGTCCCGCAGCCATGGGGTGCTGGGGTCGGAACCGGGCCCGGCTGCTGTGCATGCTGTCGCTGACCTTCATGTTCATGGTGCTGGAGGTGGTGGTGAGCCGGCTGACCTCGTCGCTGGCGATGCTCTCGGACTCGTTCCACATGCTGTCCGACGTGCTGGCCCTCATCGTGGCCTTGGTGGCGGAGCGCTTCGCCCGGCGGACCCAGTCCACCCAGAAGAACACGTTCGGCTGGATCCGGGCCGAGGTGATGGGCGCCCTGGTGAACGCCATCTTCCTGACCGGCCTCTGCTTCGCCATCCTGCTGGAGGCCATCGAGCGCTTCATCGAGCCCCACGAGATGCAGCAGCCGCTGGTGGTCCTCGGGGTCGGCGTGGCCGGGCTCGTGGTCAACCTGCTGGGGCTCTGCCTCTTCCACCACCACAGCGGCTTCGGGGACGGGGGCGGGCCCGGCGGGGGCGGCCACGGCCACTCCCACGGGGGGCACGGTCACAGCCACAGCCTCACCAAGGGGGTCCGGGGCAAGAGCAGCCGCAGCGGGGGCAACAACAGCAACGTGACGGAAAGCGAGCGGGCCGCCGACCGGGAGGAGACCAACAACTTGGTCGTCAACAGCAGCAACTCGAACGGAATGAAGCTGGACCGAGCAGGTAGGAAGGAGGGCGGTCGCCGCCCACCGCGCGGGCTGGGGGCTCCGGAGCGGCTGCTGACCCCCGCCCCGGCCCTGGGAGCGACAGGAGAGGGGCCCGCACTGCCCTCTGCTGTTGGACGCGGGCGCAGCCGGCCTCCCTCCCCTCGCTTTCCCCCACGTGGAGAGTCTTGACATCCCCTGCCCACCCGACACACACCCACCCAAGCCTCGTAGGGGTAGCTGGCGGGGTTGCGGGGGAATTTGTAAGGAGGAAGGCGCCTGGATTTCTTCCAGTCCTGGCTCTGCCACTCCGGGGGGGGAGGAGTGGCGCAAATAAATCACCTACCTCCCTGGGCCCAAGTTTTCCCTTCTTTAAAAAGAAGGATGCTGGACTGACAACCTTAGGTTAAGCCAGTGAGCCTTGTTTGCCGGGCACGCTGCTAAACTGCGTGGGGGGTGCCAGGAAAGGCCGGGGAGAGTCACTGCCCTCAAGGAGCTCACATTCTATTGGGCGGCGGCGGCGACATGCAAAGAACTACGTATTAGACAAATGATAGATAGATAGATAGATAATAAATTGGTGTAATCTCCCACCCGGTAAAGGCCTCTTGGAGAAGGAATTTAAGATGAGACTTGAAGGAAGCAGGGAGTTAAAGGTGAGGGAAGAGAGCTTTCAAGGCATAGAGACCAGGAGCCAGGGAAGAGGAACTGTGGGAAAGAGTCGGTGCCCTGTGCCAGAAATTGCAAAGAATTCCAGTGTTCCTGAATGGTGGAGTATGGGATAGCGATAGCGTAGGTCCACACCAGCTCTAATATCCTGTGATCCTGTGATTACCAGAGGGAAACAGATACGGGCAGCTGGGTTATCTCTAGGACTTAATTCTGACAGTAGTTAGTCCACACCGAGCCAAGTTCGGGGCTGGTGTTGGTCTGTTTAGCAAAAAACCTATGGGGGATGGTGGCATATTTGTTTCTGGATAATGGGTTTAATTTCCCATACTTCCTGGGGAACAGAGAAAAAAAAACTGTTGGGTTTTCCATTCAACAAGCATTTGGTTAAAGATTTTCTTTTATGAATGGTTCAGCTCAGTTCATGTGTGGTTCAGTTCATCCCTAGTCTTGTGAAATCATTTCTGATTTTACCTCTCTGAGCGTTGTCAGTCTGATGGGCCCAATTTAATGACTTCAGAATCATCCTAAAACAAAAGCCCATCATATCTCATCCATTTAAGTTATGGAAATTAGTCATTGAAAAGATGGGGTTAAATAATTTAACTCAACCTTTTATGGATTTCGTCCTGCTCTCAAATAGGATGTTGGTTCCAGTTGTTAAACTGCCTAAGTGTATGGTTCTTTAATAGATTTTATTTTTTAAATAGAGTTAAAAGGAACCTGAGAGAAAGAAAGTTCAGCTTTTATATAAGTCTCTGCAATTGGTGATTGCTGTTGTCCATGCCTCAGTCTCATTAAATGTCATATTTGAATGAATGATACAAACTGACATTGATTTTAAGTTCAAGGTATCAGAAAAAATGTGATTTAAAAAAAAAACCAAACCTGAAATTGAGTGTCCAGTAGTCACTATAATAGTGGGTTATTTCCACATACTTGAATTTATAGCCCTTGGATTTACCTTTTTGCTCCGCAGGTTTGCAGAGATCTCTGCTAAACTTTTTTTGTTTTGGTTAAACAAGTTTTCCTCCCCTCTTAATAGGAGAAAGAGGCAGAATTAATTTAATGATTTAATAAGTACCCATTCAAAGAAGCTATAGCTAAGGTTATGCCCACCCATAAGTATCAATTTATATTCTAGGGGCACTAAAGACCATACAGACTGTTATCATTGATCTCACCCCCAAAAAGCAGTGCTAAGAATACAGCTTTTGGGGGGCAGCTAGGTGGCACAGTGGATAGAGCACCGACCCTAGATTCAGGAGTTCAAACCCGACCTCAGACACTTGACACTTACTAGCTGTGTGACCCTGGGCAAGTCACTTAACCCCATTGCCTAACCAAAAATAAAACAGTACCCCCCAAAAAGAATACAGCTTTTATATGAGCATTTTGTAAATGTCTGGTAATAATTTTTGCATCTCTTTGTAGAGGAACAAGCCAGAGATCGTTCAATGGATGTCCAAGTTAATGGGAATCTTATTGGTGATGATTCAGACAATTTAGATTCCGAAGACGAAGATAATAGTGGACAACTTAACATGCGTGGAGTTTTTCTGCATGTCTTTGGAGATGCCTTGGGTTCAGTAATTGTAGTGATAAATGCCTTGGTCTTTTTCTTTTCTTGGAAATCTTGTTCTGATGGAATCTGTAAGAACCCATGTATTGCTGAGCCCTGCCAGGCATTTGTAGGTCTAATTAATAGTACTGAACCAGTAGAAGAGGCTGGTCCTTGCTGGGTGCTATATTTAGATCCAACTCTTTGTCTTGTGATGGTTGGCATACTTCTTTACACCACTTATCCGTTACTTAAAGAATCTGCCCTTATCCTCTTGCAAACTGTACCTAAACAAGTAGATATCAGAAATTTGAAAATAGAACTTCGAAATGTTGAAGGAGTCGAAGAAGTTCATGAATTGCATGTTTGGCAGCTTGCTGGAAGCAGAATCATCGCCACTGCTCATATAAAATGTCACGACCCTGCATCCTACATGGAGGTGGCTAAAACAATTAAAGACGTTTTTCACAATCACGGAATCCATGCCACTACCATTCAGCCTGAATTTGCTAGTGTAGGTGCTAAATCAAGTGTTACCCCATGCGAGCTTGCCTGTAGAACTCAGTGTGCTTTGAAGCAATGTTGTGGGACCTCACAAAAAACCAATTCTGGAAGGGAAATAGAAAGGAGTTCTGCAGTTAGCATTTCTTGTTTAGAACTTAGTGACAATTTAGAGAAGCAGCCCAGGAGGACTAAAATTGATAGTATACCTGCTGTTATGATAGATATAAAGAAGATGCCAAACAAGCAACCAGAATCATCTATGTAAGTTTTCAACACATGTGATGTTCAGCTTGTTTTCATCTGCAAGAGGAAGAGACTCTCCATTGAAATCTTAAGTTGCCAAGTAGTATAATTGCTGAAGTCTTTGTTTTGGTCACACTGTTTAATTCTATTTTTGTAAGAACATAATGGAATTGCATAACACAAAGTTTTATATTACAACTTTGTGATTATCAGTGCACAGTACAGCTATGCTGTAACAATTTTGGAAAGCCAGTTTTAACACTATGTTACATTTTTTGTTAAAAGTAAGTATAAACCTTGTATAACATAATGATATTTTTTATTTTAGTTTTCCCATAGCAAAACTTAATTGGGGATAAATAAATTAAAATTAATTTGTTACTAGAACTTCTCTGCTTTGTCTTTCCCCTCACCCAATATTTTACTTTTATTTGAGATTTCTTGATGAAACTTGAAATAGTATTTTTTTTTGTTTCCTTAGTTTAGATTACATTTCCCTTTCCCCTTTTGAAATTATTACATAGCATAATGGTAGCATTTTTTTTTAAACCGACTCATGGATGTTAATGGGAAAAGTTATTCCATTTTTTTTTCCATGTGGAGCAATTTTGTCATTTTACCAAGAAAAAGATCAATTACTATCTTGTATTAAGTCCTCTTCTTTATTGCTGAGTATTATTCCAGTTGAAATGTGAGACAATTAATGAGAAACTGCATTTTGTACACATAATAGAGTGTTTGAAGAAGAATATAGAAGTTCAGCCAACTGAACATCATTTAGATTCTTTTATAACTTGTTAATGTTTGGAAGAACATTTGAATTGTTTAAAAACTTTCAATACATGCATAAAACACTTGTCTTTCAAAAAATTATGAATATGTACATTACATAGAGGCGTTCACCAGCATTGCTTATGTTTGAAAGAAGATTGGTCTCCATTAGTAATACTGAAGGCTCAAAAGTTTACTCACAAAGTATCTATGTATATAATTTAACTCTTTAATAGGTGTTTCTAAGATGCTATTCTCTCAAGTTATTTCATGGCATCTATCCCCAAATAGATTTAGAAGAAAGTCGAGTTTTACAAACAGTGTTTTTGTTTCTCTGTGAGCCACTTACTAGGGAGAAAAAAATAATTGGAAGATTAATATCACTTGAGTATTAAGTCCTTTAAAAATTAAATTTATAATTAAGGCTGGACTTCTCACTTCTATAATGTCTTGTCATCGCTCAGGTCTTCCAACAGTGACTTATTTTGAATATATACTGTAACACCTACATGTGAGTTGACTGAACTATGACTGAAATTGCTTTTAACTGTTTTCTTTTTGCTGTTCCTTTTTAAGTACAGTTACTTAAACAGTATTTAAGAAGTTTAAAAAAATTGTCTTGCTTGGAAGAATCATTATCCTTTTTTATTTTGTAGATTTTTTTGTCTAATGAGACTAATATTGGTGGACATCAGTTATCATACATAGAACTATTTTGCCAAGAGCATAGTGTCCTGACTACTTCAGTTGTTTTTATAGATGACTACTTCTGGAAATGGCTTATCTTTTTGAATTAGAAAACAATTCACTATTTAAATGCAAAGTTTAAGATAAAGATATTAAAAAAAACTGGAATTAGAAATTTCTTTTTTAGTGTATAATTCTTGTAGTAGCAGGCATAGGTTTTCCCCTTCTAATGTATGCCTGTTGCTGGCAATGGGCTTATTATTTTTTAAATAGGCCATGTTAATGGACAGCATATATTTCATTATGAATGAGAATGATTTGTGCTTGGATAACAATGGGAACACAGTTTATAAATTCGGGTTTGCTAAAATGGGCCAAAACTGTAACCTGCCAATTGGGGTCTCTTAATATTATTTTGCTAATATATCACCCTCATAATTCAATTGATAATTCCTAAACTAATAGGTATCTTTAAATTTTGTGCAAATTTGAATCTTTTTAATATAAAATGGGGGAATCTCATTATGTGGGTAAACAAGAAGAAAGCTGCTAATTGTACCATTATCATGTGCATTCCTGATTTAACATTTTAAAGTATGGAATATTTTATTAAGGTATTTCAAAGCCGAGTTTATATTTTGTAAACATTTCAGTAATGATACAAAAAGATAACTGGTAAAATATCTTAACATCGAAGAAGGGTTCTCTGAACAAATGCACTATAATGGGGTCTGTTTCCTAAAGAATTGAGGTTTTTTAAAAATATAAGCACAGGATAAGGGCTATGTTTTTCTCAAAAGTACTATAAAAGTAACGTGTAGGTGTAGTTATCTGGTTTTTCATAACTTGTTTTAAAGTAGTTTATATCCATGCATAAAGTGGTACCCTAGTGTATTCTTCTCAAAGTAATTTGTTATTTAATAGCAAAAGCAGTGGGCACTGACTCACTTTTTGAGTTTTAACAGAGAAACAGTGTTTCTCTCTACAATGCACTTTCTAACCCATGTTTTACTATATAAAAAGTTACGTTGAAAACCTGATTTTGTTTTGTTTTGGTTTGGTTTGGGTTTGTATTTAAAATTCCTAGAATTTGAATTCCTTTTGCCTTTATGAAAGGAAATGGGGGGGAGATCCTCCCTCAAATTCTTCGGGCACTTGAGCCCAATATTTAAAGAAAGAAAACCCATTTTGTATTTCTGCACCAGTTCTTTCCCCTCACAGCTTTTTAAGCTGGCTTTTCCTTTGTGAGTAAGATCAGTGAGTTTATCATATGGACGCTTACAATTTCGTCTGTTGTCCATCTTGTAGGAAAAGGAGGCACCTTATGTGCCAGAATTAAAACCAATCTAGAAAATTTTTTTTCCAAGCCAAATGCAGCCTTAAGGGAGAGTAGGTTCTCCATTGTGACATTTTAGCTTGTGTGATTGTTGAATTAGTGGGTTTGGAGTGCACATCTGCATTAAAAAAAGATATGAATTAGAAAAACTATTTTTACTCAGTGTATTTGAATCTTTTTTTTTTGAGGCGGGGAATGCCATATTTCTGAGGCAAGCCATTTGAGTAGGAATTTTTTTTTTCCATCAAGTACCCCATTGAAAATCACTGTCAGAGAAAGGGTACTGTATTGTAAGGAAAATTTTTTGTTAGCTTGCCATTATAATTTTTGAAGAACTTCTTTTTAAATTAATGTTCATATATTTGTTTTTCTAAAATCAGAAACTTAAACACTAAAGGAAATAACAAGGATATAACATGAAAATACTTAAAGTGCTATGACTGTTGGGTTGAAGATTTATTTGAATGCCAATACTTTGTTTTTTAAGAAAGCTATAGATGTCACGTCTTCACCTTTTGTCTTAATGTCTTCACAAAGAGTATGAAGAAACAAATGTGGAGAGTAACTTGGTTGATGTGCTGAAGCTCTTCAAACCGTATAGAAGTACTGACTTAATACTGAGTTTCAGTGTAATGGTGAATCACAAAACAGTGTTCAAATTTGGCAAAGTAACAGAAGAAACTTTCCCTCTCTCCTTTTTTCTGTTTAAGATTAGACCTGAGTCAACCTTTTTATTTGACCATCTCTGAAAAAGAGTTAAATAGCATCATCGTGATGTAGCTTTACAAACCTTATGTGGAACTGCAATTTCATTTTCCTGACAAAACCTGGAATATCTTAGCAATCATTTTCACTGGCAAAGGGCCTCTTGCGTGTCCTACAATTTAAACCTTTAAACCAAAAATTTTATGGTCCGGTGTCTTTGACAAAAAGATACTGAAGGGAATGTAGCATACAATTAGTATATGTGGTTGTATATGAGAAGTCTTGCTCAAGACTCAGAAATGGCCATGTTATCATTCTGCCTTGAAACAGCACAATGAAAGTGCATCAGTGTATGCTGTGATTCTTTATGGAATTTTCATAATGTCATTTTAGTGTCTGCTATTGCCAGCTATTTAGGCAGATTGTGGTGCAGTTTTATGCAGTTGTCATCTCACTAAATGCAGATACAAATATATTTTCTGTGTAAAGTTTTACCGATTTTGGTGTGGTTTTTTTTTATATGTTTTATGACTGTACATTGTTTTCCAAAGCTGTTTCTACCTCATCATGAGGCTTTATGGATTGTTATGTATTATACATGTTCTATATGAGACAGGCTACTGTGTTTTCCCCTCTCTTCTCATTTATTAAAAGTAGAAAAATAAACTAATTTTTACATATCTATTTAGTCATTTTGTGCATGCTCTTCATGCCATGAACTGAATATAAATAGGAGGGTTGGGTCTGATCAGGAGCTGAAAGGAAAATTATCATTTTTAATAATAAAAGTACTGTGCTAGTTGGTAGGGCATATTTAGATCAACAGGAATATTGGTTAATTGAAAATATATCTACTGTTAGAAAGAAGATGCCAAAGAAGCACCCAATCATCTTTTTACAAGCTTCTCAATTTTGTTCTCACATAACAAGAAGGGTCTGAAAGAAGGCTGAGTTGGTAGGAAATCAAATCTGTCAACAAGAATTACGGAAGAAAACTATAACCTACTGCATACCTCTGCAAGCATCTGGTGTTTGCTGCTCCCACACAGCAACTTTTAACAATTTTTAGAAATCTCCTTTGTGATGAAAGTGTCCTAGCCATTAGACAGGGATATAAAATTTAGATAGGACATGTGTGGTCTCTGACCTTATGGGACTTAGGAGATAAGGTACATAAACAGCTGCTGTGATCCAAGTTCATTAATGGATAGGAAGCAAATAAAAAAAGTAAACTTTTAAAAAATGGCACGATCAGATCTTTGACAACGATTATTGGCATGGGATATTAAATTAATGGCTGCTGTGCTATTTTAGCCATCATCCCAAGCCTTTTGGTCAGGAAACCAAGTGCTCTACCTCCTGCATGAGGTGATCAGCTATTTGTTGAGGGTATTAAACACTTCAGAATTATTGGTAGTGAGTACCTCTTATTAAATGGATAAGAATTTAGACAGTCTATACTCTTAATATATTTATGATATGAGTTGGAAGATGAGACAGACAAATGGAACAGTAGAAAGGAGAAGGAATTGCTGCTGTCTAGGAAAACTTAAGTAGGATTTGAGCTAAGTCTTGGAAGAGAGGCAGCAAATAAACATGATTTATAAGGTAAGATAAGACACAAGCACACATTACTAATTACTAATATGCAATATAAGGTCACAAGAGATAAATTCTCAAGAATTTATAAGGTGTTCAAGGAAGGGTCTATAGAAATGGTTATTTGAGATGGGTTTTTAAAAAATGATTTAAAGAAGTAGAGTTCCTGAGTGAAAGAGGGCATTTCAGACACAAGGAACAAGATGAGTGTGGAGGCACAAAAATGGAGGACTGGTGGGTGGTGTAGTTCAGAAGAAGGATAGGTAGAATCTCATAGACTAAAACACTACAGGGAAAATCCACCTAGGAAGGATGGGAAGTTCGTTCTAAAGCAGGGGTTCTTAACCTTTTTTGTGTGATGGATCCCTTCTCAGAATAATGCTTCTAAATGCATAAAATAAAATACATAGAATTACAAAGAAAACCAATTTTCAATCGAAATGTAATTATCAAAATAACATCTTCACAGACTTCAGGTTGAGAACCTCTGCTCTAAAGAGTGAAATTCTGAGGACACAAAGGGAAACAATGCTAATGAGGAAGAACTGTTTGAAGAGATGCATGGAGGCATAGAATGCTCAAGAATTCTTTCCCTGGCAATCACCCCTGCATTAGCCATACTCCTCCCTTCTCCATCATACTCTCTTGGTGAACCAGTTCATCTCTACACTGTCCTCTAGAGTCCCTTGCTCTCTTATCATCTTGCCCTGTCAGACCTCAGCCTTGAATCGTCCCCATCATGTACTGCCTTCGCTACTCCTATACATGTGCTGCTGAAGAAAGTGGTAGAAAATCACAGAACTGCTGACTGGGCCCTCACTGCTGCAAGGCAATCCTTTTACGTATTCCTTATTAACTCATTATCCTACTTACTACAATGGCTCTGCCAAACCTTTTCATCCCTCCTCAAACCTTCTGTGGCTTCCTCTCCCCCACTTTCTCAGCTGAGAACTTTGCCTGATATTTTACTGAAAAAAAATGGAAAACATTCAACTAGAGCTCCCTCTTCTCCCCTCCTCCTCATCTCACATCACCCAGATGCCTTCTGCCACTATTTCCTCTTTCACTCCTGTCTCACATAATGAGGTGGCCCTTCTTCTTAACCAAGGCAAACCCCTCTCCATGTACTACGAATCCCATTCTGTCCTGTTTTCTTGAGCAGATTACTTCCTCTATCATCCCCACTCCCTCACTTATCTTAAATCTCTCCTTGTCTATTGACATCTCTACTGCCTACAAACATGCTCACAACTCAAAAATCCTCATCTATCCATTTTTACTAGCTGTCTCTCCTCCCTTTTGTGGCTAAACTCCTTGAGAAGACCATCTACAATAGGTGCTCCCCTTCCTTTCCTCTCTTCTTAATTCTCCATAGTCTGACTTCTGACCTCATTATTTTGCTCTCTCCTAAGTTACCAATGATCTCTTAATTGCCAAATTTTCAGTCTTCATCTTCTTGACCTCTGGTGCCTTTGACATGGTTGAGCACCCTCTTCTTGATACTCTCTTCTAAGTTTCCGTGACATTTCTCTATCCTGGTTCTCCTGCCTGTTTGACCAATCCTCAGTCTCCTTTACTGGCTCTCCTAATCTGCAGACAACTGCCTATCATTCATCTCAGAATGGATGTCCTATAAATATCTTAAACTCAGCTTGTCTAAAACTAAACTCATTAACTTTCTGTCCCAAACCCTGCCTCCTTCCAAACTTCACTAATACTGTCAAGGGTACCACTGTCCTACTCACCAAGGCTCACAACTTCTAGGTGTCATCCTCAACTCCTCACTCTCACCCTCCCCCCATATCCAATCTTTTTTTTCCAAGACATAATTTTTTTACCTTCATAATATCTTTTGCATGCACCCTCTTATCTTTTCTGATTCTGCTACCACCTTGGTATAGGCTCTCATCACCTTATGCCAATATTATTTCAATAGCCTGCTGTTTGATCTCCCAGCCCCATCTCTTCCTCACTCCTGTCCATCCTCTACTCAGTTGTCAAAGTGATCTTCCTAAGGCACAGGTCTAACCATATAATTTCCTCTCTCTCTCAATCAAAAAATTCCAGTGGCTTTCTATCACCTCTATGATCAAATATAAAATTTTCTGTTTGACATTCAAAACTCTTTACAACCTGGTTTCTTCCTATTTTTCCAGTCTTCTTACCCCTTATGCCCTCCCATATACTCTGCAATCCAGTGACACTAACCTTCTTGCAGTTTCTCAAACAAGACATACCATTTCCCAACTGGGCATTTCCATTGGCAGTCCCCCATGCATGGAATGCTCTCCCTCCTCATCTCTGTTTCCAGACTTTCTTGGCTTCCTTCACTTCCCAGCTAAAATCTTGCCTTCTGTAGGGAGACTTTTCCAATCCATCTTAATTCTAGTGCCTTCTCTCTGTTGATTATTTGCTTTATCATGCAATTAGCTTGTTTGTACATAGTTGTTTACATGTTGTCTCCCTTATTAGACTTCAAGCTCCTTGAAAGCAGGTCTCACATTTCTTTGTATCCCCAGTGCTTAGCACAGTGCCTGGCACATAGTAGATGATTAATAATAAATGTTTACTGTTTGACTAACATATTATGTGTTAGGCACTGAGGGATAGAAAGACAAATCCAAAACATTCCTGCTCCAAAGAAGCTTACTTTCTGTTTGTTGAATTGATTCAAGAGAACTGTAGGTACATTTTATTTAGATTTTTTTTTTTGCTTTGTATTTGTATTTATTATTTTTTTCTGATTGGGTCTCCCTGTCTTATCCAGAGTAGAAGTACAGTTGCTCGAAGTGGGTATGGGGTTTATGAGTTGTGGATGGAGGGAGATTAGGGGACTCAGTTTTCCCCCTAAGGAGAGTTCATCTAGTGAAGGAGAGAGATGGGTGACTATCACATTTGTGAACTTGAGGAAGGAGGAACAGATGGCCTATGACATTACTTGCACTTTTTCTGTTTTGGAGAGGGGGCTGAAAGAGCATAAGAGATTATTAGAAGTCTACCAGCTTTGGAGACCCTTCCTAGTAGTCCAACATTATGGAAATATGAGGGACATTGACCCTGAAGTACAGTAGTCCAAGTTTGTGATCAGCAGATTTTAATGTCTACTACACTTGGAGTGGGCAGTCAAATCTGGTGTGGGTCATTTATTATTTTCAAAAATTGGCCACAGGCTTTTGAGGTTTCACTGGCTTTGCTTACAGATTCCACAATCAACTCAATTCCAGGATTAGAAAACTCAGTATTAGAAGTTTGAGGAAATCACAACAGCAGGTATACAGATGTGGGTCACCCCTAGCTTATCCAAAAGTTTTGGCTTAGCCTCTAGTTTGGATTTGAACTCAGGGTGTGACCCTGAGCACTCTGAAGCCTGGTGTCACAACCTTAACTAGATATTCATGTTCGCTTGAAAGAATGAGGGCTGGACAGGACTTGGAAATAGACGGGAGCATTTCTTCAGCCATTACTGCTCAGTGAGCCCACCCATGTCAAAGTCATTCTCCCTACCCCTTCCAATTTAATTACAAAGGCATTTGAGCCAACCCCAGGATTCTTGCACCTTCCTTCCTCCCAAAGCACTAGGTCATGAAAAGCCTAGAATTTGTTCAAAGTAGAAGGACTACAGGTATCTGTACATCTGTACAGGTATCTACATCATAACAAACATCAGTATGAGAAGTTTGAAAAACTGAGTCAAGCCTCTAGATGTTTTGCTCACATGATACCAAAACTCTTGGTATTTGCACATAACTAAGTGAGGAATTAGTGTTTTTTGCTTTATTACACTGGCATGGGATAAAAAAAAAATCTCTTGTTTTTTGCTTACAGTTATGTGGGCTGAATAGCATAGGGTTCAGATAGATACTCATCCTTTTTCTTTAAACGAGGCCAAAAGGCATATAATTATCTTTCAGAAGATAAAATCTGTCCTCTTCCTTATGGTACTTCCTGTTTCCTCTCCTTTCTCCTTCCCTACCTTTACTCCTGTTCACATAGCCTTCTGTTCCTCAGCATCCACTCTTCCCCTATCACCCAGGGCTTGTCCCAGCTATATTTCATTGTTCACCCTTAATATTTACCTGTC